AGGCAGCCATTCATCACTTGGCGTTGAAGGCATTCCTCAGTGAACTTCTTTCCTAGTCTCCAGAGGAAAGCTCAGGGTCTGGGTTCCCAGAAGGGTTGCTTCCAGCTGGAACACTGGCCAGCAGAGCATCCTTGCAGGCATTCTGCATGCAGTACTGTGGATCCTCTCCACCCCGGCCTCCAGCCTGAGCTGCTCCACCAGGCACTGCGGGCGTTCACACAGACCCCAGAAGACAAGGCCACCACACTGTGCTCTGAGGGCAGGCACAAATCCCAGTGTGGTGGGTAGCCCATAAGTGGCCACCAGTAATCCCCACCTGCTGTTGTGTCATCTCTCCCCCTGGAGTGTGGCTGGACCTAGTGGCTGGCTTCTGCTGAGCAAAACGTCATGGGATGTCACTTCCTAGATTAGGCTACAAAAAGACTGTGATTTCCATCTTGCTTGACACCCTCTCCCTCTTCTGGTGCCTTGGATCTAGTGGAAGCCACTGCTATGCGGTGCGTATCCTCTAGAGCAGCGGTTGCCAACCGGTGGTCCGCGGAGGTCCGGAAGGTTGGCGACCACTGCTCTAGAGAGGTCCACAAGGCAAGAAACAATGTCTCTGACCGACAGCCTTGGCCGGCACCTGGCTTGCAGCCTCTGAGAATCCCTAAGCCAGAGGCGCCAGCCAAGCCACCTACGGAAACAGTGATATAATAAATGCTTATTGTTTTAAGCTACTAAATTTGGGGATAATTATTATGCAGCAATGTGTATATAACTAACATATTCATTAACTGAACATATTAGGACATCAAACTATAAACAGTTTATTTGGTACAATTTTTCAGGGAGCTAATATGACCATAAATATTAAATTCTCCTATAATTTTACACATCCTCTGTCCTTGTAGTTCTACCTCTAGAAATTCTCTTAAGGGGGGAAAACGAGATGCTAACAAAGGAATAGTTACAGGGATGTTCAGAGCAGCACTAGAATGGCAAAAACTGGTAGCAATCCCATACATCTAATAACAGGGCATTGAGTAACTAGATCATGGAATTGCCTCTAACAGAACAGGTTGGACTCCATTAGTGAGTCTTGAAAAACAAAGTGACTTGCTTTCAGCATTTGAGAAAAAAAAAAATAACATGGAATAGAATGGAATAGAATTAAAAAATACCCCATATTTCCACCATTCAAATGCCACTATTTTCACCACTTTGTTTGTGGGTTTATTGATGATAGCCATTCTGACAGGTGTGAGGTGATATCCCATTGTGGTTTTAATTTGCCTTTCTCTGATGATTAGTGATTTTGAGCATCTTTTCATATGTCTATTGGCCATCTGTATGCCCTCTTTGGAGAAGTGTCTATTCAGGTCCTCTGTCCACTTTTTCATTGGATTGTTTGTTTTTAGTTTTGAATTGTTTAGGTTCTTTATAAATTTTGGATATTAACCCCTTATCAGATGTATCATTGGCGAATACCTTAAGGAGCCTCACATTATTAATAACTAGAGGCCAGGTGCACGAATTTGTGCACAGGTGGGGTCCCTCGGGGTGGCCTGCAGAGATCGGGCCCCAGCTTGCACCCCCAGCCTCGCAGCCCCAGCTCATGCCCCCAGCCTCACAGCCCCGCCTGGCACCCCGCCTTGGCCTGACACCGCCCCCTCACCTGCTCCACCATCCCACTTGCGGGGTGATCGGTTGGGGCTGGGGCCTCCCCAGCTGGGGGGCCCTCCCACCCCACCCGGCTCCCTCAGCGCCTGGAAGCCAGCTGCGGCCCTGCCTCCTGCCACCGCCACTGCTGGTCGCCATCTGCAGGGCAATCTGTGGGGCGATTGGGCCCCCGCTCGCACCTGCCTTGGCCTGGTGCTGCCCACTCACCTACTCCACCATCCCGCCGAGGTCCCGCTCTCATCGGGGCCCCATCGGGGCCGGCAGCACCTCCACTGTTGCCCGCTGCTGGCACTGCATCGCCAATGCCTGCCATGTTCCGCGCCGCCCCTGGTGGTCAGTGCATGTCATAGCAAGCGGTCGAACTCCCGGTCTCCCGGTGTAACTCTCAGTCAAATGACCGCCTGAGGGGACAATTTGCATATTAGGCTTTTATTATATAGGATGGGAATAACTCATTCGTGTGCCCTCGAGGTCCACACTGTTTGCTGATGCAGAATCCCACCAACCTCTAGTTTACAAATTAGGAAACAGGCTCAGAGAGGCTCCATGCATGAACCTGTCTATGTCTCTATGTAGGCATCTATGAAGTTTGCATATTTATGTTCTCAATTAAAGTTCTGTTAAAGGTCTAAATACCTCTCCTATCTCTCCACTTCTTACTATCAGCAACACTACCTCCCCTAGTCAAGCCCTACAGCAATGGCCTCTTAACTGTCTCCTCCAGCCCTTCTGCACCCTCTGATCCTCTCTTTATTCAATGGCCAGGGTGATCTTTTAGAAATTTAAATCTGATTATGTCAGTCTGCCCAACCACCATTGCTTAAGATTTTGCAGTGATTCCCAAGGCTCTTAGAATAGAGATAAAACTCCTTAACATGATTCACCAGGCCCTGTGTAGATACATTCACACCTTCTGCTCATGGCCCCCTCCTTTCTGTTCCAATCCCTTGGACTCTCTGTCCTTTGTATTCAGCATCTCCTTCGTGTCACAGAGGCTTTGCATATGGTCTGCCTTCTGCCAGGGCCACTCCTCCTGGCCCTTGTGCCTCGTTCACACCTACTCATCCTTCAGCATTCAGTTCAAATGTTATTACTCATGACGTGACACCTTAAAGCACTTTTTTCTTTAGATCACTAAATACAGTTGCCGTTTTATATTTATTTATTAGCTGATTAATGTTTGCTTATTTTTATACTAGATGGTGAGTTCTATAAAGGCAGGAACGGTGTCTCTTTTGGATCACCCATCCTCGTGCTGAGCATAATACTGGCCCGCTAGAGGAGCTCATAAAGGCTTTGTTAAGTGAATGAGGTGATGAATGAACAAAACCCACTGACTCCTCTGATCTGCTTCCTTTTCCTGAAAGGGCCCTCAGATCCTTCAGAAGACAGGAAGCAGCAGAGAGAGGGGACTATACAATAATGACTGCCCATCACAGAGTGTCAAAGTAACAGGAGAGTCTACAGGATGCATTTTAGAGGCCTCCCTATCCTGGCTAATTTCCACCCTCTTCCAAAGAGGCCCAGGCGGGAAGTCACTGAGAAGTCCCAGGGCCAGCCTTTCTGATACAGAGCCTCACCAGGAAGGCAGGGAGAGTGGGAAGAGGGAGAAAGGAAGGGAATGGATGTCTACTAAGAAGGGACTCTTTTGGACACCATGCTAAATGTTTATATCTATCATCTCATGTAATCCTCCCCGGAACCCCATTTTGCAGATGAGTAAACAGACTTAAAGAGCTTGTGAAACCCATGCAAGGCAAAGTTGAGTTGGAACTGAGATCTGTCAGTCTTCCTTCGACACCTGGGCTTTTCCAGGGCCTAAAGTTGGCCCTAAAGACCCATCGGTTGGCCTCTGTCTAAAGCTGTCTTTTAGGAGTCCGTGTACAGTATGATGGTTGAAGTCCATACATGGGAAACAGAAACTCAACATAAAGGCAACTGCTACCAGACCTCAAAAGTGATATATAAATTAAAATTGGAATGTGGAAAGTAAAGGAGATGGAGTTAGTGTGAGGGAGTTAATTTCTCATCCTTCAGATTAAGGAGATAAGACATACTGTCTAAAACAGACACATTTATGGTGTTGCATAAAAGGATAATGGTGATCACAGGAGAACTAAAGACAAGCTGTTGATGGCAGTTGCCTCTGGGGAGAGGAGTTGGGGAAAGAAGAGAAAGTTTCACTTTCATTTGTTTGTCCTTCTGAGCTTTTCATTATAAAAAAAAGAAGTTAACTCTGGTTGGGTAGCTCAGTTGGTTAGCTCAGCATTGTCCTGATACACCAAGGTTGTGGGTTTGATCCCTGGTCAGGGCACATACAAGAATCAACCAATAAATGCGTAAGTGGAACAACAAATCGACGTTTTTCTCTCTCTCCCTTCCTTTCTCTAAAAATCAATTTAAAAAAATTAGTGTTCTGTAACTTTTCTAAAAAGTTTAGGTATTTTTGTTACAAGGGACTAAACAAACGAAAATACCATTCCTTTGGAATGCAAGCATGTGTAGAAGTCGTAGGCCTTGACAGCTGGGTAAAAGTTAATCTGAAGGTTTCCTCTGTCGGGAAGGACGTGAGTCAGGGGAGGGTCATGTGATGGTAAACATGGCTTCCTAAGCAGTTGCCTCTGGAAAAAGAGAATTGGAGACAAGTTTGATAAATTTGCCTTTGCGAGCACCCAGGGCCCGGCTAACACAGGAGCGCCCCTTCCTCACATATGCCTAAAGGCAGCTCCCAGGCAGACACACCCAGACACAAGAGGGCACTGGCTCCATGAGGACCACAGATAACCACCCCCTGACTATCCCTGCAGCGCCATCCTCTGAGCAGGAGCTCCTGCCTGCCAGGGACACCGCTCCTGCAGGCCCCCTCTGACAGCAGGTAGATCTAGTCCCAGGCGGCGGAGTGCAGCAGGTTCTCAGATGAGTGTGACTCTGGTCCCGTTCCAGAGCTGGTCACAAAGCACAGATCACAGCCCCACCCCCCTCAGGACCCAAGCAAGGGCCCCTTTCCCTCCCGAGGCATGGCGCCCTCTTGACCTTTGCTCATGTGCAGTTTATGTCACACTGAGCCTCTGCACCTGCTAAAAAGGAAGGCTAGGGCACAGCTCAGCTCAGGAGTGCCATTCACTGGCAGCCAGGAGTCTGGCATTTCCAGTACCTGTTGTTGATCTTTGACCCCTGCCCCTCCCACCTTTCTTCCCTGCTGGTCTCTCCTGTTTTCAGTTTCCTCACTTCCCTGGCAACCTTGGTCTGACTGGCAGTTTACCCCAGCTCCTTGCCCAGGCCATTCCTTCCATGCTGTCTTCAAACCCTGCTTCCTGCACCTCTCCCAACCCTGACAGGGAGAACTCAAGTAAGAAGGTCCAGTGGGCTTCTGGGAAGAGGAGGACGTCTTCCACAGACTCAGAGTCAAAGTCCCACCCCGACCCGTCCAAGGCGTCCAGGTCCCGGAGACCGAGCCGGCTGACGGTGAAGTATGACCGGGGGCACCTCCAGCGCTGGCTGGACGTGGAGCAGTGGGTGGACGCGAAGGTTCAGGAGCTCTTCCAGGTGGGTAGCGTGGGGGAGGGGGGGAAGGGGGGGGGCTTGAAGCCTGGCCAGGGAGCTGAGAAAAGCTCTGCTCTGAGACCTCAGGAGGAGCTGGAGGGTGGATGTGAGATGCTCCCATGGAGAGAACGCTTTTCCCAACAGGTGAAGCGTGGGTTTGCAGCCCAGAAATCTGGCCCCTCTGGTCTGGGCTCTGCCTCTAGCTCTCTTCAGAATCCAGGGCATGTCTTTTACCATCTCTGAGACTTGGTTTCCTCATCTATAAAACAGGACTCTGAATGCCTGCCAATATCTCCTTTTAGGACGTTTTGGTGCTCAAGAGAGATAATAGAAGGGCTATTTTTTTCTTTTTTGTCTTTTCTTATTCTTATCCTCAACAAACATACACGTCTAGAGCTACATTGTCCAATACTGTAGATATCAGCCATGTGTCGCTATTTAACTTCAAATTAATGAAAATTAAATAATATTAAAAGTTCAGTTTCTCGGTGTCACTACCCAATAGCCCCATGTGGCTAGTGGCTTCATACTGTCAGCACAGATATAGAACATTTTCATCATTTCAGCATGAACAGAACGGGGCCAGAACATCAGAGCAACCAGCACTAACGCCAGCAGCTGGTCACTGACTACCCTCAGTTCCACCCAGGCCAAGGGGTGGGTCTTGGCCCCTTGTCATGGGAAGTACTTAGCTATCTCCACATTGGGATCCTAATGAGTAGCAACCGCTGCTTTAACAAGAAAACATTTTGAGCACTTAAGCACCTGCTCGGCACAGGGCCAGCATTTGATGTGCGTTATTTCATTCAGCACCTGCACGACTCCATTAGGTAGCTACTGTTTCACCCTGGAGGACGTGGAAGCTTCGCGATGTTGAGTAGCTAGGAAGCTACGGTACTCAGGGCCGCAGCCGGGGCTCTGCCCGCAGAGCCTGAGCACTTACTTGCGCATCTAGTGGTTCCCCATACACCTGAAGTACTTCAGGAAAAAAACCAGTGCCCTGGCTGCAGCTCAACTGAATTTAATTAGAATCTACTAGGGTGAGGCCCGGGCACCGGTCTTTTTTATAAGCTCCACAGTTGACCCCAGCATGTGGCTGGCAGAGAGCCACTGCACCAAGCCAGAAACTAGAAGTCTTACTTGTCCTCATACCATGGTCCTTATTTCTCCTCTTTCTTGACTCAGGTCCTTTCTCTCTCTCTCTCTCTCTCTCTCTCTCTCTCTCTCTCTCTCTCTCTCTTTCTCTCTGTCTCTTGTGGGAAACAAGGGCCTGTGATTCTTCCAGGAAAGGGCTGTGCCAGCAGCTCTGTGGGTGGGTGGGGAGGAGTCGTCCATGTGGCCCAAGCTGCCTTGTGAGGCTCCTGGGTCCTGTGTCTGCTTGGTCCAGGTGTTGACCATGTTCCCTGCTGCATCCTGGGGCAGGTGGCAGATGTCCTGACGCCGGGAGCGGGAGAGGCAAACTTTCTCGGCCTGAGTCTGCTCTGACCTTGCAGAACACCTTCCCTGCCCGTCACTACTGCCAGCACCCTCTCTCTCTGGATCAGTTTCAATTTCAGATTGTTGTGCACTTGCATGAAAAGTCTCATATTTCAGACACCGCAGGGCAAGTCCTTTCGGGGCATCAAAGAGAGACACTAGACAAAACTTGTTTTGCAAGATTAAGGGGGGGGGGGCGAGGGGAGGAAGCTGTACAATAACGAGCTTAAAACATTTCCAATAGGACATGTAGGAGGACCGCTCCCAGGCAATGACTGAAATAAAATACCTGGCCTGCAGTTGCCATGGTGATTGTCCAAAGGTGCAGGTGGCAGTTCCTCTCCTAATCCCTGCTCTTTTCATCCGGAAGCAGCCAAGTGGCTGGGGAAGCCCCAAGTGGCTGATCACCTTGGGCAGAGATGGAAGCAATAGAGCCTCCAGACTTACCGGACCCCAGTTCTAACTTCACAGGGCCCCTCGCCACCCACCAGGGTCTCCCTTACATGTCCCCCTTAAATGGCACAACTGGAAATGGTTCCAGGGATGCATCACCACTTCTTTAGTATTTTTAAAGGGACCCAACCTTCCTTTGATGAAGGGCCCCACCTCTTCTCACGGGGTGTACAGCCTGCTTTGGGGTCTTCAGAGGAAGCAAGTCTGGATTCAACCCAAACAAACAGATTTGGGGCGCTAGCGCTCCTGTTGTCCAGAGGGAGAGTGTGGATTTGGCTACTAAGCAGGGGCTTAAACACCCATAAGTTTCTCCTATTTTAAAAACACTCTCGTTCATCAACGTGCCCCACTCTAATAACCATCCCATAGTTCGTGTCTCCTTTACAATAAGACCACTTAAAGGATTTGTCCATACTCACATCCTTTACTTACCTTTCCCCCTCCTATCACCATTCAAACCATCAAAATCTGGCTTCTGTTCCCCCAACTCTATGGAGAGCTCTTGCCAAGGTCACCAATCATTGCCTTGAGCTAAATCCAATGCACACAGCAGCAGGGGAGACACTGTTGATCACCCCAGATTTTGAAACATTCCTTTCCTATGGATTTCATGACACGATCTTTTCCTGCTGGCAGCTAGCATTTTGATGCAGCTCTTTCAGTGTGGTGAGATTTTAAGAAACAATCTGTTAACCTTCCAACTTTAAAAAAGTATTGCCAATGAATTTGTGAAAACAGACATTGTTAGTTCATCTCTGAACCTTACTCCATGGCTGGTCCCATGGCAGGAGTAAGGGGCCTGAGTAGGGAGTGGAGCTGAGAAAGAGGCGTATCTGGCAGCATCTGGCAGGATACTGCCACATGTAATAAATACAGAATCACAAGCGTACCACACTTGTTCATCTCAGCAGGAGTTGTTTGATATATCTGCTCATTTTCTGAGAATTCAAAAAAAACACTTGAGAGCCCTAATCGGTTTGGCTCAGTGGATAGAGCGTCAGCCTGCGGACTGAAGGGTCCCAGGTTCGATTCCGGTCAAGGGCATGTACCTTAGTTGTGGGCACATCCCCAGTGGGGGGTGTGCAGGAGGCAGCTGATCGGTGTTTCTCTCTCTTTGATGTTTCTGACTCTCTATCCCTCTCCCTTCTCTGTAAAAAAATCAATAAAATATATATTTTTTAAAACTTGAGGGAAAGAATATGGATTATGATATGAGCCTATTTTTCAACTCCAGACTGCAGGGGCAATCTGACTCTAGGTAATATATGTTCCTTATATTTAATATAACATCATAAGTCATATAAAAATTTTTTGGTGGTTCAGTTGGTTGAATACACAAAAAGTTGTGTATTCCATCCTGATCCAGGTGTATAAAGGAGGCAACTGATTGATGTCTCTCTCACTCTCTCTCTCTTTCTGTCTCTATCTCTCTTCCTTTCTCAAATCAATAAACATATCCCCAGGAGAGAATAAAAATGTGTGGGGTTTTTTGGCTGCACTAATACTTATTTATTTATTTTAAATATATTTTATTGATTTTTCACAGAGAGGAGGGGAGAGGGACAGAGAGTCAGAAACATCGATGAGAGAGAAACACCAATCAGCTGCCTCCTGCACACTCCCCACTGGAGATGTGCCCGCAACCAAGGTACATGCCCTTGACCGGAATCGAACCCGGGACCCTTGAGTCTGCAGGCCGACGCTCTATCCACTGAGCCAAACCGGTCAGGGCAACTAATACTTTTTTAGAGGCAGAATTCTAATCACTAGAATATAGTATCTTTATTATATTCTATGTAATAATTTCACCCCCCCCCAACTTCTGGGATTTCAAATTACATGTATGCTAGACCACTTGATATTACCCCACAGGCCACCAAAGCTGTTCTGTTCCTTTTCTCCCACTGCCCAGGTTTTTTTCTTTCTGAGCTTCATTTTGACTAGTTTCTTTCACTCTATCTTCCAGTTCATCTGATCCTTTTTTCTGCAAGTATGCTATTATTTCCATCCAGTAAATTTTTCATTTAAAATATTGTAATTTTTATCTCTAGATGTTTGGTTCTTTCTCATATCTTTTATTTTCATCATTACTGTGTTCATGTTTTCCTTGTCTGATTCCATCATCTCTGTCATTTGTGGGTCTGATTCTATTAATTGATCTTCCTCCTAGTTTATAGGGAACATTTTCTGCTTCTTGCCATGACTATCTATCTGGATACTGAATTGTAGTGTAAATTTAATGTTGTTGAGTAACTGGATTTTTTTTTCTTCCTTTAAGAATGTTGGGCTTTATCCTAGTAGGTAGTTTAGTTACTTGAGGTTCTGCTGAGGCTTGTTTTTAAGCTCTGTTAGCATTAGTCTAGAGTCGCCTTTAATCTAGAGAATAATTTACCCCCGTAGTGAAGCATGGCCCCTCTGAGGTCGCTGCTGAATCCCTGCATAACTGTCGCTCTGGCTGGGTGGACTTTGACTTGTCTCCACACCTCTGTGAGGTCTGGGAACTGTTCGCTCTGTGCTTTCGGTACCTCACGGTGCCTGGCTTCGTGAAGTTTTACCCTAGGCATGTGCATCTTGTGTTCAGCAGACTTAAGAGACCCCTTATGCAGATTTCTGAAGGTTATTTTCTTTCTAACTCCCTCCTCTCCAGAACTTTGTCCAGCAGATTCCAGTCACCTCAACCCTGAATTCTGATCTCTGTCATATCAGCGTAGCAAGACCACTGTGCTCTGCTTGGATTCTCTCTCTCTCTCAGTTCTCTTGTCTGGAAATTGCCTCTAGAAAGCAATTCAGGGCAAGTATGGAGTTTACCTCTTTCATTTCCCTTCTCTCGCAGGCATTTCTGAGCTACTTCTTGTCCAATATCTGAAAACACTGTTCATATATTTTTGTCTAGTGTTCTAGCACTTATGTTGGGAGAATAAATCTGGTCCCTGCTACTCCATCATGACCAGAAGTTAAATATCTGGCTAACTCTTACTCGGCCTTCTGGTCTCGGATTAGAGGTCACTTCCTTCCAGAAAGCCTTCCTAAACCCCAGGCTTGGTTAGGTTCCCCTTCCATATTCTCCCAAAGTATCTCATCAGCGTGCTCACCACCCTAGTGCAACTGCTTTTTCATCTGTCTGTATCCCTCAGGAGACTATGAGCTTTTCAAGGGCAGGATCGTCATGTCTGTCTGTCTTGCTATTATAACCCCAATATTCATCACAATGCGTGGTGTACAGCATTCTCTCAATAAATATGCATTAAATGAATGAATGCTGAATCAGATGAGCTAGAAACCAAGGCAGCAGAGGGGAAAGTCTGGAGCTTAGGATGAAAGAGCTATCTTAGACGCCTAGCACTGTTTATTTTGAAAAAGGAATGGAAGGACCAAAACTGTTAATTTGTCTCTGAAATCAATAAGAGATATTTTTAAAAAATCAATTATAGAATAAAATTGGCCCGTTTAAAGTCTCCATGTGAATGTACTTTGCTATCAGGTATCCAGTACCCCAATCGAGATATGGGACATTTCCATAGTCCAAAAAGTTGCTCCAATATCCTCTACCTTTAGTTAAATTACACAACTTGATTACTTAGTACATCTGTTTCTATCATGTCTATGAAAACAATGCCAGGTTCTGAGATAGCCCTTTCACCCTACATGTAAGCTCTTTGAGGGCAGGTTCTTTGTTTTGTTCACTGAATTTCCCAAGTTCACAGCGCCAGGTTAATAGTAGCCACTTGACACATATTTATTATTATCCCAAAGGATTAATAACCAAATGAAAAAGGTGAGGTTTGGAAAGGTGAATATAAACTATCCAAATCAGTATGGAAAGAACTTGTTAAGCATAACATAAAAAGGAAGCAAAACCTAAACTGGAAAAGATCATTAGATTTAACTATTTAAACGCATACACCTATTTCCCCAAACCCTTCTGGACAAATGATATTTCTATCATATGTGGAATGCTAGGGCTAATCTTGTTTTTTTAATCAGTAAGAAAAAACTGAACAAACTAATAGAAAAATGGGTAAGGCAGCAGTTCTTGAAGTGTGTTCTGGTGACTCCAGGGGTTCCTAAGACCATTTCAGGGGGCCTGTGATTATTTTCACAATAATACTAAAATGTTGTTTGCCCTTTTCACTATGTGGACACTTGTACTGATGATGCAAAAGCAACGATGGCTCTTAGAATGAATCAATAAAGTGACACCACGCACCCCTATGCTCGTTGCAGTGTTATTTACAATAGCCAAGATCTGGAAGCAGCCCAAGTGTCCATTAGTAGATGAGTGGATAAGGAAGCTGTGGTGTATTTACACAGTGGAATACTACTCGGCCATAAAAAGAAGGAAATCTTATCTTTTGCAACAGCATGGATGGATCTGGAGAGTATGATGCTAAGTGAAATGAGCCTGTCAGAGAAAGTCAAGTACCATATGAGTTCACTTCTATGTGGAGTCTAATGAACAAAATTAAAAAACAAAATAGAAATAGACTCATAGATATAGAGAACAGACTGACAGATGTCAGAGGTGAAAAAGGTGAAGGGATTAAGAAAAAAGAAAAGAACCCTCATAGACAGACAACAGTATGGTGATTACCAGAAGGAAAAGGGATGGGAGGGTGTAGAAGAGGGTGAAGGCTGGGGGATAAATGGTGATGGAAGGAGACCTGACTTGGGGTGGTGAACACACAATGCAATATACAGATTATAGAATTGTACACCTGAATCTATTTAACTTTATTAACCCACGTCACCTCAATCCATTAAAAAGAAAAGTGACACCAACCTGTACTAGTAATCATGTTCTTCACCACCACGCCACTTTCACTTACGGAAGTCCTTGATGATGCAGTAAAAATTATTAAGTTTATTAAATCTTGGCCCTTGAGCTCACATCTTTTTTAAAAAATAGACTTTGATTTTTAGAGCAGTTTTAGGTTCACAGCAGAAGTGAGCAGAATGTACAGAGTTCCATTATTCCCCGTCCCCACACATAGTACAGTCTCCCTTACTATCAATGTCTCCCACTAGAGCAGTGCACTTGTTACAGCTGATGAATTTATACCAGCACATCGTGATCACCCAAAGTCCATATTTTATATTAGGATTCACTCTTGGTGTTATACATTCTATGGTTTTGACACATGTATATTGACATGTATCCTCTATTATAATATCATACAGAATAGTTTCACTGCCCTGAAGACTCTCTCTGTATCACCTATTCATCCCAGCCTCCCCGCAACCCCTGGCGACCATTGATCTTTTCACTGTCTCTATAGTTTTTTTGTTTGTTTGTTTTTTAAAATATATTTTATTGCTTTTTTACAGAGAGGAAGGGAGAGGGATACAGAGTTAGAAACATCGATGAGAGAGAAGCATCGATCAGCTGCCTCCCGCACACCCCCTACTGGGGATGTGCCTGCAACCAAGGTACATGCCCTTGACTGGAATCGAACCCGGGACCCTCCAGGCCGACGCTCTATTCAGTGAGCCAAACCAGCTAGGGCTCTCTATAGTTTTGACTTTTCCAAAATATCATAGTTAGAATTATACAATATATAGACTTTTTAGATTGGCTTCGTTCACTTAGTAATATGCACTTAAGGTTCCTCCATGTCTTTTTATGGCTTGACAGCTCATTTTGTTTTAATGCTGAGAAATATTCCATTGGCTGGACGTACCACGGTTTATTATCCTTTTACCTAAGGAAGGACATCTTTGTCACATCCAAGTTTTGGCAACTATGAAGTTCCTATAAATATTTGTGTGCAGGTTTTTTGTTTTTTTAAATATATTTTTATTGATTTTTTACAGAGAGGAAGGGAGAGAGAGAGTTAGAAACATCGATGAGAGAGAAACATCGATCAGCTGCCTCCTGCACACCTCCCACTGGGGATGTGCGCTCAACCCAGGTACATGCCCTTGACCGGAATCGAACCCGGGACCCTTCAGTCCGCAGGCCGACGCTCAATCCACTGAGCCAAACCGGCTTCGGCATTGTGTGCAGGTTTTTGTGTGGAAATGTTTTCAAGTCATTTGGGTAAATACCAAGGATCACAATTGCTGGATTGTATGGTAAGACTGTGTTCAGTTCTGTAAGAAGCAGGCTGTCTTCCAAAGTGACTGTACCCCTTTGTATTCCCACCAGCAATGAATGAGAGTTCCCATTGCTCTGCATCCTCACCAGCATTTGGTGTTGTCAGTGTTTCAGATTTCTTGCCATTTTAATAGGTGCGCAGTGGTATCTAATTGTCGGTTTAATTTGCAATTCCCTAATGACATGTGATACTGAGTATCTTCTCAGCTGTTATTTGCCATCTGCGTATCTTCTTTGGTGGGGCATCTGGTCAGATCTTTTGCCCATTTTAAATTGTCCTTTTCTTATTTATGACTTTCAAGCCTGCAACCCCAGCATGTGCCCTTGGCCAGAATCGAATCTAGGACCTTTCAGTCTGCAGGCTGACGCTCTATCCATTGAGCCAAACTGGCTAGGGCGACTATAATAACTTTTAAAGATAGCTTTATTTCACATACCATATAATTCACTACTCAAAATGGGAAATTTCATATTTTAAATATCTTCAAATGGTTGTGCAACCACCACAATCTAATTTTAGGCCTTTTCATCACCCCCAAAAGAAACCCTGAACCCATTAGCAATCATACCTCATTCCCTACCGCCACCATTCCCAGCCCTAAGAAACCACTAATCTATTTCGTGTCTCCATAGATTTATCTATTCTGGACATCTCATACAAATTGAATCATATAATATGTAGCCTTTTATAACTGGTTTCTTTCACTAACAATGTTTTCAAGGTTCATCCATGTTGTAGCACGAATCAGTGCTTTGTTCCTTTTATTGATGAGTAACATTGCAGGGCTACATCATATTTCATTTATCCATTCATCAGTTGATGGGCATTTGGGTTGTTTTAGACTTTTTGGCTAGTATAAATGATGCTGCTATGAACGTTCATGTGCAAATTTTTTGTGTGGACATATGTTTTCATTTCTTTTGGGAATAGACCTAGGAGTGGAATTACTGGGCCAGATGATAAATATATATTTAACATTTTAAGGAACGACCAAACTTTTCCAAAGCAGCTGTACCATTTACATCTCTACTAACAATATATGTAAAAATTTTGAAATTAAAACAAATACTCTTTTTAAAGACTTCTAGGGCTGTTCCGGTAGATCACAGTAGGCTCCCAGTAACTGTTATGGAAGGATGGATGCATGGTTTGAATAAGACGAGAGGAACTGAACATGGAAAATAGAGTGGGGGATGGGTGAGCCCCTGACAGTAACTTTCACTCCAGCACTAGCTGGCCAGGCCTCTCTGAGCCCCATGTGATTCCCAAACAGGATCAACCAACCCCTTCTGAGCCGGAGGTTGACCTGGAAGTTCTCATGGAACTATCCACAGAGGAGCAGAAAACTCATTTGGAGGTAGAATGGGGGCTGGGCCCTGGGGCCAGCGGTTGGGGTTGGAAGCTGGGCTTGGACTAAGGGGAAGCTAGGAACCCAGGCTCTGCCTCCTTGGGTGGCGTGGGAGAACCCCATCAGAGGGAATTCCTGGAAGACTGAGTGGGGGCTTGTGGGAAAGTGCGGTGGCTCAGGGACCCACTGTCTGCTCTCTTCTACCCAGGCTCTTCTCCGAGACTGTCCCAGCCCCACAGAGGTAAGGACGCTTTGCTGTTCTGGGGGTGAGAGGAGGCCCAGTGGGGAGGAAACTAATGAAAGGAAAGCTTGGGCCTGCGTCTTTCCCCCGTTCCCTGGCTCTAGGACAGCGGTTCTCAACCTGTGGGTCGCGACCCCTTTGGGGGTCGAACGACCCTTTCACAGGGGTCACCTAAGACCATCGGAAAACACACATATAATTACATATTGTTTTTGTGATTAATCACTATGCTTTAATTATGTACAATTTGTAACAATGAAAATACATCCTGCATATCAGATATTTACATTACGATTCATAACAGTAGCAAAATTATAGTTATGAAGTAGCAACGAAAATGATTTTATGGTTGGGGGTCACCACAACATGAGGAACTGTATTAAAGCGTCTTATTCAAACCATTAAACATTAGGAAGGTTGAGAACCACTGCTCTAGGAGCTGGGGTAAGGGAGATGTTAGGGAGGACATATGGTGGTGGGTGTGACTCCATGCCTTAATCTCACCCATTTCTCCTTCAGCCTTTTATCTCCGAACTGCTCAGTCAACTCAAGAAACTCCGGAGACTCAGTCGGCCTCAGAAATAAGACTTGTGAGACTACGTTTAGCAGCCTCAGCACCGTCAGGCCTGCCCCGAGCCTCTGGATTCCGGGCTGAGAGGGAAGAGGCTCCTTGGAACATGGACAAGGAACATTGGAAGATGAGGAGGTCACATGTGCCACCCCTGCTGCATGTACAGTCACAGCTGGTTCCTGTCAGTTGGGCTTTCTGGGAGCCAGTCATGGCTGCTGCCCAGTGTTTTCCTTGACAGCCAAGTGGATAAAACCTTTAGGAGTCCCAGCTGAATGGAGTGTGGAGCATGTCTGTGCTGAGGGGTGGAAGAGGGAGAGGGTGAAGTGATACACCAGGAGGCGAGCATCCTGGCACACTCTATCCTCCCACCTCACCATCCAACCATCCATCCATCCATCCAATCTTTGAGAATTTAAAAATGAAGGTCACAGTTCTGCTTCAGAGATCACAATCTAGCAAGGCCCTGAGGCTAAGACACAAAGCATCCTGTCATCATCAACAGGAGCCCCAGTGGCAAAGACCAGTTTTGAATCCCAGAGGAGGCAACAGGAAAAAGCTCCCTGGGTCTGGGACATCAGGGAAGGCTGAAACCTCCTCCCCCGTTTAGTGATGCAGGAGGCCTCAGGCTGAGGGCTCTCCAGAGCTGGCTGCAGCCAGAGGAAGAGAAAAAGCAGGGGCTAAGCAGCGGGGGATAGGGTTCAGGCTAAGAGGCCAGGGGTCAGGCCAGGAGGGAGTTGCTAGCAACAGACACGAGTCAGAACAGCAGGCAGGTTGGCACAGGAGCCCTGGAAGTTGGTGCCCTTTGGGAATAAGGCAGGAAGCAGGGTGTGCTTCCACTGTTTGTGCGCGCAGCGTCTGAGTCCTAGAGAGGCCGAGAATCACGACAGTGGGGGCTGGGGCTAAGCTGGGCTGCCCAGAGCAGGACCCACACTTCCGTTCAGTTGAACAAATTCATGCCTCTCCTCTACGAGGCCTCCGAGACGGGTGGTACTGTTCCTGCCGGGAGAATCTTACATGAGGGCTCAACCCTCCCCCTCACTCCGTAGGACTGGATTTACAGCCTACTTTGCTTTTGCCACCTCTCCAAGGACCCAGGCTCAGGGCCCACAGGTTCTAGAGATCAACAATGCTGGGCCCAAGGACTCAACATACTTTATTTGATACATTAAGTGCTGGGGCGCTTGAGCAGGTTTCAAGGCTCATTCTTAGATTCAGTCTGGTCTTTCCAGTCCAGGCTTTGCTGGTGGAGGGCTCCTGACTCCTGCCTTCCCTCGGCTCCTCCGGCCACCATTTCCAATGCAGAATCCTTCCCCCTTCATGGACATGGAGGCTCAGGAAAGGGTGCACCCATGAGCAGTCTAGCTTGAAATGCTCTCCCATCAGATGCCCCAAGTCTGGGCCCAGAGGTGGGTGCCCCAGCCTGTGTGACTGCCTGTAGGACGACCTTCCTGGGAGGCCGGGGTGTCCTCAGTGTCCTTGGCCTGCATGTGGGGGGTGGTAAGCAGATGTCTGGTGCTCTTTAAGTTCAAAGGCATCATGGCCTTCCCTGTGGAAAAAGAGAAACAGGTCAGGGATCACAGGCAGCCCTTGGGCATCCCAGTCCCACAGAACATTCTGCCCGCACCCACCGGAAGCAGCGGACACAGTAGAGGTCTCCGTCGCAGCCAGCACAGCGCAAGGTGGCATCCTCATTGCAGATGCAGCACCAGGGGAGCTGCTCCTCCTCAGCTTCAGGCCTGGGGGCCAGAGCCTGGGCCTTCAGGGAGCAGACAGGAATGGGGGAAGTAAGGTCCCTGAGGGAGTAAGGTCCCTGAGGGGGTATGCCGGGGGGGGGGGGGGTGCTGCCAGAGCAGTCAGCCAGTCAGCGGGGAGGCTGCGGAGGCCCCTCAGTCCGTGTCTGGGGCTTTTCTCACCTGAGGCTCTGCCCTGCAGGATTTGGCCGGGGGTTGGAGTGTTGGCTCTGCCGGGATGTTAAAGCCACTTGCCTCATCCAGGGCAGCTTCTTCAGTGAGCTGTGGACAGGGCAGAGGACAGCTCCCTGTTCGTGGCCCAGGTCCTCCCCCACACCCTGAAGGTGCTGTGGCCTTAGCTTCTCAACCCATCTTCCTTTATTGGTTGCCTATGGCTGCTGACACCCCATCTCAAGGGGCCAGGGGGCAGGTCTGGGTCACAGGGACAGAGGGACCCCAGCTGGAACAGCAGCAGCAGAGCGACTGGCTATTGAGTCCCAGATGGAGGCAGGATGAATGGGGCCAGGTGGGTGGTGGGACAGTGAGGTGGGGGCCGCACAAAGGGTGGCCAGTGGGTAAGGCAGGCCCACCTGCTGCAGGACTCTCTGGATGGCCGTCTCCTCATCCTCATCGTCATCGCTGTCTGGGAGGCGATAGTCTTGGAGGGTCACTTGAAGTGGGAGAGAGGTAGGAGCAGGGGAGGAGTGAGGCTGAGAGAGTTCGCTGGAGTGGCTACACTCTTGCTCCCGGGAGCTGGTTTGGTTTCCAGTGGCACTTGGTCCAGAGCTGAGCAGTCTCTGCAGCCATTCTGATCAGGCCTCCCCCTCCCTGCTCCACCCGGCAGGGCTCGGGGTCAGGAACAGAAGGCTCTGCACCTGAAGGGAGCTGGAGGTCCCCTGCCCCCTGATGGCGGCCACCTGCTTTGCTCCCAGTACTTTCCCTTGTGGCTCTGGTTGTGGCTCTGGGCAGAGCTCGATAGACCCCCGGGCACAGAGACCCCCCCCCCCCCGGCAGCCCTTTCACAGAACTTGGCCTGGGTGTGGGGGCTGCTCCCCAGGTTCTACCTCTGTCAGGGTCCCGTCCCCGAAGCACAGCCAGGCGCTTGGCAAGGTCCAGGATCCGCTCTTGCCTCGTGTTCTCCTCCCGCAGCTCGACCGCAGCTTCAGCCAGCAGCCTGCTCTTCTCTCCATCCAGGGACCGGGTGGCCTGCCCCTTGGAATTAGCACTCAGGCCGCCTGGCCAACCCTGGTTGAGGTCATTCTGAATAGCGGCAGCTGGAAGGAGCAATGCAGTCAGGGAGGCAGAGATATTCCAAGATCTCTCATCAGAAGCCACTGAGCCCATTTCTCAACATTTTATAAAAACCTACAGAGCATCAGCTTTTTGTTCAGCACTAGCTCACATGGTTTATATTACAAATGAGATGCCCATCCTAAGAACAGCATGTTAAATATCAGGTGGGCTGGGATGGATGTAGTTGGAAAAAACCTCTACGATTACCAGTGTTTCATATTGGGGGAAAAATGGTCTGAGAATCAATGCCCCAAATAATCAGGTTATGGGGAGGCCAAAGTTCAGCCAGTGTCTCTGCCTTACAGGCTGAATCAGCATTTCCAGGGAGCAGCACAGAGAGGACATGGCAGAACCTGAGGTCTTATGTGTGACTAGGCTGGAAGAATTTTGACAGAATGGGTGTGGCTTTGACATGTTCCCTTTAGCTCACTATCAGACCAAGAGGTTTGAAAGCAGACAGCTTTGGGTTCAAGTCCTAGCTTTGTTACTTAATGGCTGTGTGATCTTGATCAAGTTCCTTAAGCTCGCCAGGCCTCAGTTGCCTCATTTACAAAATACGGATAATAAGAGTATGTACCTCATAGGATTACTGAGGATGTTCGATGAGATTGTGTCTCTAAAGCAGGGCTTCTCGATGGTGGTTCTATTGACATTTGGGGCAGGATAATTCTTTGCTGTGGGGCTGTCCTGTGCATTACATGATGTTTTAGCGGCATCCTTAGCTTCTGCTCACTAGATGCCTGTGGTACATTCCGAGTTGTGACAACTAAAAAGTCTCCAGACACTGTCAAATGGGCCACGGAGGGGAAATCATCCTTAGTTGAGAACCACTGCTCAGAAGCCTCTGAATAGCACAATATGATTCTTATAATGATGGAAACATTCCACATCATGGTTTATATTTGTGCAGTCCAAGATGGTAGCCATGAGCCACATGTGGAACTGAGCACTTGAAATGTGGCTAGAACCACTGAGGGGACAGAATGTTACATTTTATCTAATTTTAATTAAATTTAAGTAGCCTCTTCCTCCTCCTTATCATCATCATTGCAAAGAACACTCACTGAGCACTTACTACAGCCAGGCAGGGTCCTAAGAACTTATTGGATAATCTCATTCATTCCTCGAAACTTCCCCACAAGGTAGGTTTTAACACACGCACACACACACCCCTCCATTTTACAGATGAGGAAAGTGAGACTTTCCCAGGATCACACAGCTGGTAAGTGGGAGGAGAGAGAATCACTGACTGATTCTAAAGTCCACACACTATCCACTAGGCTTACACTGGCTCCCATAGAAGTAAACACTCAATAAATGGTAGCTCTTATAATGTTGATTGTTCTCTGATTTACATATATTCACCTCCCAGTGGGCAGCAGAGCCTCTCCCACCTGGGGAGAAAGAAGGGCAGGTCCCTGGGGCACAGGTGGAGAAGTTACCTGGGCTTCCTCCATCCCAGCTCTCATCAATAGCCACTTCTGCTGTGAGCTGTGTCAGCAGATCCTGCGCCTGCTGGGCCTGGGTCCTGGTGTCTGGTGGCTGATGCGCCTGCTCAGAGGAGGGAACTCAGTGGGGATCAGGACGGGGAAGCCACACCATCAGGTCCAGAGCAGTCTATGTCAGTGGATGTTGAGGAGTCCCCAAAGCTCAGGGAAAGGGGCTAATCCAGGGCCCACATAATTGAGTAGGTCTGACAGTCCCCAACCAGACGGGGCCACTCTTTCCTGCCCCATCCAATCCTGCTGGTCCCTGGTTCCCTGGCCTGGCAGCAGACCTGAGGATCCGGGGGTGGGAGTCAGAGGCTTGCCAACTACGGAGAACATAAGCACACATGTACTAGGACCCCCTTCCCTCTCAAGCCACAGCACTCACCGGCTGGGGGGTCTGAGAAGGTGGAACTCTGCCCTGCAGTGCGGCAAGCCGTGCCTCCATCTCCTGGGTGGAAGCGATGGAACTCTGGGTTTCGCCCCTCAGTGCGGCTAGCCTGGCTTCTATCTCTGCCTGTGAGGGCACTGACTCTGCAATTGGCATGGGGGAAATCTGTAAGGTCCAGAGGAATCTCAGTCCCAGGAGCCCCAGATATTGTCCTTTAGGCCAGCGGTCGCCAACCTTTTGGACCTCATGGACCACCAGTGGTCCGCAGACCACCAGTTGGCGACCGCTGCTTTAGGCCACCCTGCCTGCCCCTACTCACTGGGCTTGTTCTCCTGGCGGAGCCGTGCTAGGCGCTCAGCGATGGCTTGGTCTTGTGGGGTCAGTCCATGGCTCTGGGGAGTGCTGGACTTCTGCTTGGCTTCCAAGGCTGCCACACGCCTGGCAGGATATGAGATAAAGGTTCTTGAAGAAGGCAAAAGGGAGGGGCGAAGGCACCCCCTCATTTTTCCCCATTCAAATCATTTCTAGACATCTAGGGAGGCCTCCAATGGACAATCTTCTGTGGTCCTCATGCATGTTGGCCTGCAGCTCAACCCAGCTGCCCAGCCGGAGGGTCCAACAGAAAGGATGTGAATCAAGAACTGTTTCTGGGGAAAGGGCTCATGAGCTGCTTTCTGATCCCAAGAGGGCAGGTAGGAGCCTTCAAGGTGGATGGTCTCCTGGCCCTGTGTTCATCTGATCAAGAGGCTGGGAAGAGAGTCCATCCCTGGGGCTCCCTTGCCCTTTCCCCATCCACATTTGTCTCTGTCCCTTCAGCACTTACTTCTTATAGTTCTGAGGTGGTGACCACTTGGAGGCACTGGCAGGAGAAGATCCTCTATAGAGAAGAAATCTGGTTTCAGAAGCCCTGACACCTGCCAATCAGTGCCCCCCACCCCGAACACTTCCGGGGCTGACCTCGGGCCACAGAGCACAGGCTACCAGGGCTGGCCAGCTGCCTGCTGCCGTGGTTGGCTGAATCCTCGCCCTTGTCAGCTTCTCACCTGGTCAGGGCCTCGTGGCACTGTTTGCAGACTTTCTGTTGGGTGTTCCCGGCCCGGGGCACCGCTGCACTGAAGCTAAGGCAGCTGGAACAGAAGGCCCGGCCACAGTTCTTACAGCCAATCTGCAAGAAACACGAAGCAGGGTTATCCACGTCTCAACCACCCAGGCAGGCTCCTCCCTGGCACTCTCTGAGCACCTAGACGAGAGAAGACGACACTGAAGTTATGAACAGCTGCTGAGAAGAGGATGAGGGGCGGGGACCCTAAGGCCTGGGGAGACACAAGGGTGGAGTAAAGTGATTCCTCCATCTCCAGTCTTTTATTCAAATCAGGGAAAGCTTCATACAAAATTTCCATGCTTTCTGTCTAACTGGTCTTCAACTTCCTGACACTGGGGTATAGAAGACAAACAGGCAAAGCCCCTTGTCACTGACTCCTCAACAAAGGAGAATCGGAGAAAGTGCAGAGCTCAGGCCTTCTCTGCTCCAGCAAGAGGGAGGGAGGCGTGGCTCAGGAGGGGACGATAACAATAGCCTCCATTTATTAAGCACTTACTGTGTGTCAGGCGCTAAGCTCAGTATTTAACATTCTTCAGCTGATTTAATCCTCAGAGTTTCTACACACTATTTTACTTAATCCTGATGCCCAGCATTACTGTTCCTATTTTCGGTGGGGGTCAGAGAGGTTACATGACTTGCCCAAACAAAAGTCACCCCCTGAATAAGGCATCAGAGCTCAAATTTGAACGCTGACCACCCTGCCTCCCAAACCCAGGTTTCCAAGTACTGCACGGACCTGCCTCCCTAGGTGCTTCACTCATCCTATGTGGTTTCTATCCGCTAGTCATTGCTAACACAGCCGGCCTGCAGTTACCAGGGGAACTCGGGGGTCTGTGCTGGAGGGCGGAGAGACTCTGCCACGGAGCCCTGCGGGCAGGGGAAAGGTCGGTAACCTAACGGAGGGAACCCGGAAGGGCAGGCTGCGAGACGGCGAGGGTTCCAGAGCAGAGGGAGTAACGGGACAAGGCGTGATGGAGAGTGGGCACAGGGCGGCGGCGAAGCAGCAGGACCGAGGGGAGGAAACAGCCGGACCCTACACTTGGCAGACAGAAAAGTCTAGCTTTCCAAAACCCACAGGAGCGCGCCTTGCACAGCACCTCGCTGGACCCACACCAACCGGCAAGCGAGGGAGTGCTAGCCCCATTTTACAGAAATGGGAACTAAGGCGCAGTGGCTGAGAACCACGCTGCTGGAAAAGGCTGGAAGGCAGTCTATGGGCTGCAAGTCCCGTGTATTTCCCTCCACTCCGCCCACGGGGAGAGAAGACTCACCTCCTTCTTGAAGAGGGTGAACTTGACAGCGCAGCCGTAGCACCTGCTCTCCATCCTGCCTGCTCTCCATCCTGGCTCCCGGCGTGGCGGGGCACGGCCGACAGAGTTGCGATCACGCCCGCGAGGTACGGGGCCCGTGGACCTTCACCCAGCTCCGCCCCTGTCCCTCACACCCACTCGCGCGAGCCTGCCACGGCCTCCCGCAGGGAAATCGCGACCGGCCATCCTGGTTGGAGAGCAACAGCGGCGGGCGCGAGGGCTGCTGGGAGTTGTAGTTCATTTACGACAGCCCGCTTCCTTCAGTGGCAATCGAGCTTGACACAGAACACGACATTTCCCAGGGGGCTAAGCGCCACTTAGCGGCTCGGGGCCGACAGTGTTCCGGAAGAGTCCCGCGCACGTTTAGACTCTTGGGAGTTGTAGTATCCAGTCAGGGTTGGAACCATGTCGGTGGCCAAGGAGCTCTTACAGATGGACCTGTACGCGCTGCTAGGCATTGAGGAGAAGGCGGCGGACAAAGAGGTGAGAATGGTGGTGAGGAGGGCCGTCCCGGGAAGTCGGGCGGCCCTTCCTGTCTTGGCGCCTAGACTGGCACCCGCTGTCCAGGTTCGGCCGGGCCCTGGGCCAGTAGCGAGGGGCGGCCTGACGGCCTCAGAAGCTGGACTCCCAAACCATTCTACGGCGGTCAGAGAGCCTCACGAGGAAGAAGGGGTCACCGAGGAGAGGCTCCTCGTGCGGGATACTGTGCTCTCCCTCTGGCCCTAGTCTAGGAGCGGCTGTGGGTGAGCCTGGGAGGGAATGCTAGCCTCCTCCGTGCGCCTGCGCGGGCTCAGCCTCTAATTCCGCTTGTGTCGTGACTGCGGCTGGAGGCACTTCAGTCTCTCCTGAAGCTGATTAACTCCGCTTCAAGCAGTGGTTCTCAGCCTGCTGGCCCTTTAAATACAGTTCCGCATGTTGTGACCCGACCATAAAATTATTTTCGCTGCTACTTCATAACTGTAATGTTGCTACTGTTATGAATCGTAATGTAAATATCTGATATGCAGGATGGTCTTAGGCGACCCCTGTGAAAGGGTCCTTCGACCGCCAAAGGGGTCGCGACCCACAGGTTGAGAACCGCTGGTAGAGCCTAGGACGAAAAAAGGCTCAAGGCGCCTCCACTCCCTCTGAACCCCCTCCTTGGGACCTATGACCCTGCCGTCCCTGTTTTCTTTTCCATCCCAGCTCATTGACTCTTCAGGTAGCAGGTGCTCAGGTGTTGTCCTTTCAACATGCGCTAGTGGGCCCAAGGCAGGAGGATCTTAGGGAAAGGCAGATGGCCTGAAGTTCCCCAGGAAGGTGTTTGCAAAGGCGCCAGGGATTTGGACCCTGTACTGTAGTTAAGATTTCTGTTATCTAACCCTGGATCATGGTTGGTAGTTGTAGCAACTAGGAAGGGGAGGCAGGTAACTCATCGGCTGAAAATCAATGCCTGCTCTGGCTGGGTAGGGTTAGAGCGTCCTCCAGATACGCCGAGGTTGCCAGTGGATCCCTGGTCAGGGCACATACAAGAATCAAACCAGGAATGCGGAAATAAGTGGAGCAATTCAGTGTTTCTCTCGTTCTCCCTGCCTCTCTTCCTACTTCCCTCCCTCCCTCTCAAAAACTCAATAAATAAAAAATAAAAAAGAACATTAATGCCTATGAATGCCCCTGTACTTCCAGGCTGTCCTGCTCATTAACTGAGTGAGCTTGTAAGAGGAAACTCTAGGCAGAAAAGCAGGGAGACCCATAGGGCCCTTGGGAAGAGCTGCTGTCAACCTGCACAGAACTGTCCCCTGCAGCTGGGCTGAAATCACAAGTGGACCATGGGGCCCTGGCCGGTTTGGGTCAATGGTTAAAGCGCTGGGCTGGGGATCAAAGGGTCTCGGGTTTGATTCCCAGTCAAGGGCATGTACTCGGTTGCGGGTTCAATCCCAGGCCCCTGTTGAGGCATGTGGGGAAAGCTACCAATCAATCTCTCTCTCTCTCTCTCTCCCCCTTCTCCGCCTCCTCCCCCCCCCACCCCCCACTCTCTAAAAATAATCAATGGAAAAGAAAATCCTTTGGTGAGGATTAAAAACAATTTTTTAAAGAAAAAAGAAAAGAAATGGGACGGGGATGTGTAACATCTGCTGTATCTGTTTGTTAAGTCTTAAAATTTCAGTATTAGTAACGCCTAACATCTATATAACACTTACCGTGTGCTGAGCACTATTCTAGTTCTACATTTGTATGTTGTTTTGTTTTGCTTTTTTCCAAGCCAAACTGTATCCAGCTTTATTAAAGATACTTTTCATAAACAGTCATGGTATTTGAGGCAGGACATGGGCAGACAGTCGTCAACAGTATACAACAACTTTCAGACTCCCTTCTTCAATGAACTACCAAAATCAGAAAGCCACCGTAAAACCCAATGAAGTCTCCATCTGATGCTCTGAACAGGGAAAGTTTAGAGTGAGGGTTGACATTTCACATTGAGCATGTTGTTTAACAACTTTTCACAAGCCGACCCTGACTTTCAGAAATGAAATGAAAATGGCAGAGAACATCGATCTGTAGATCCACAATCTAAAGAGGAACTGCTGCTCTTTTGAGGGAGGCCCTCTCAGTGGTGACACTGGGAAGTCCAGGTTGCCCAACATACTGGAAATCAATTTTTTGGGGTCAGGTCCCCATAGGTCTCTGGGCTTAAGAGAGCCAAAGTCTATGCTAAAGTGGAGAGGGAGAAAAGGACAGAAAAACGAATTTTAGTTTTCCCACACGACAAGGTGTTTGTGCCAGGATGGCTAATGTGTGTCAACATCAAGAGATCCCTCCTCCCAGGAACCAAGAGGAAGTTTCTCAAAACCAGAAGGCAAAGGTGTTTTCCCCCCATGTCAGTCCAGCTTTGGAGACATTCTATTAGTACTATATGTCCTTTCCCACAAAAAAATAACAATGAAGTGTTCTGTGTGCTAACAACATAGCTTAAAAAAAGTAAAACAAAATTCTGCATTTTTTTTTTAAAATATATTTTATTGATTTTTTACAGAGAAGAAGGGAGAGGGATAGAGAGCTGGGCATGTACCTTGGTTGCGGGCACATCCCCAGTAGGGGGTGTGCAGGAGGCAGCTGATCAATGTTTCTCTCTCATCGATGTTTCTAACTCTCTATCCCTCTCCCTTCCTCTCTGTAAAAAATCAATAAAATATATTTTTTAAAAAAGTAAAACAAAATTCTGCATTTTTATAAAACTTGATAATAAATAGTATTTCAAACTATTAGTCACCATGAAATACACAGTTAAAAAAAATGCACACACTTCATTTGGCATCTCCAGCACCTTCAGCTTTCTGTGCCTGTCTGTTTTGGCATCTCCATTTTCTGCAGGATTATTCCCATCTTTGCCAGCATCAGCTTTCCCCTTTTTCCCTTTCGGTACCTTCTCTCCCTTCTTTGCAGGGGCCTTTTTAGGCTTGGGCTCTGGCTTTGGAGGAGCAGGTTTAGCTGATAACCTGGCGGATCTTCTCTGTGGTTCTTCCTTCACCTTGGCTTTATCTCCTTCAGCCTTTCTCTTGGGTATGATGGCGATGGTGGCGGGATGCAGCAGCGCCCGGGTCTTGCTCAGTCCGGGGGTCGATCTCGTCTCCTCACACTGCTCCATTTGTACATTGTTTAACTTGTACTTCATTAATAGTGAGAAACGACTTTGGACATTTCACAACTAGATCTAGCCAGTGTGTTGGAACCCTGAAGTTAAGAATTTTCGAGGAGGGCAGTTGGGAGTTGTTGATGTAAATATTACTCAGAGAAGTGATGTAACCAGATTTAAAAAAAATTAAACATCAGTGTGTAGAATGGACACAAGTGGGAGGTGGGTGAGTCTGTTGTCTAACCAGAAACCAAGGTCTAATCAGACCAGTGTGGTTGGGATCCAGTTCTCACTCGAATGAGCTAAGGGCTATGTGAGAACATTCTTTTAAAGGATAGGTGCTTCTCCTGCCTTTTAGTAGGAGAGACACACTGTAATACAAGGGAGAACACAGTAAGTTCCTTAAGAGGGACACAGACAAAGTGCTGTGGATGTCTGGAGTAGGCTAAGGTTGCTTCTAGTTTGGGGAAAGGGGTAGGGGAAATAGAGAAGCATTGTAAGCCTTGAAGAACCGGCGGAGTTTGGATGTGTGGGGACAAGGGGGAAGGGATATTCCAAGAAAAGGGAGAATGTGTATAGTCCAATTTGTATGGCACATAGGCCAAGAAGAAAGGAAGTGTGAAAGAAGATAAGCCTTGAAAAGTAGATGGAGGCCTTTTTTATGTTCTGGCTAGCTTCATGGTAATGGATATTTTTTGGCAAAGAACAAGGAGACAGGCCCTGTGTCCCCTCTCCTGGGTTCAAGGCCTATCGTTTTCTAGGGGTACCTTAAAGTCTGTACAAGGAAGGCCTCCTAAACGTTGGTTGTCTGGTCAGATAGGAGTTCCTTATTTGGGGTCCACAAAAAGGTGCCAAGAACTAAATAAACCTTGGAAACCATGTGTAATTTTTTTGTGTGTATAATTTTTTAGAAGAAACAATTCTTATCCAGAAAAGATTAAAGAAGCCTCAATCTAGGCCAACCCCCTTTGTTACTGAAGTTCAGCCAGAGTGGTTAGTGACAGAATTGGGACTAGAACCTGGAGCCCCTAGGTATCCAGCCCAGGTCACTGCTCCTTCCACACCGTGTCACTCGAACCCTGTCCAGAACAACACAGTTCAGGGGTAGTGATGAGCATCAACGTCTGATTTAATTTTCATTCATACCACTTCTCTGAATCCCACATCTATACTAGTATATCCATCTTCCTATTCAGTCTCTCCATTTGGATGTTTACAGGGATCTAAATTGTATTACATCCAAAATCGAACTCTTGAACTTCTCTTTCCAAACCTGCTCCTTCCTTGTACTTCTCTGTCCCAGTAAATGGCACCACTATCCACCCACTCAAGCTAGGAACCTGGAGTCATTCTTCATACCTCCCTATCCTCTTACTCCTGCCGTCACTATGTCTTAATGAGTCAACC